TACCGAGGCTACAGTAGGTCTCGCTGTACCCTGGACTTTCCATCTATTTATGAATTTCAGAGGACAGCCGTTTTCCATTAATGTTTTATTTACCAACTTAACATTATCATCAATAGCGTCATTTGTACAAATCCGATCAAGCCTATTGAATAGGCACCTTATCAAACCACGTTTGTATTACACAGGGCAATAACTATTACAACTAAGGTATTGATATGTCCACGTTGGCTTTCTAAAAATGGAGCTCCTGACTGAGCCATCTTCTCGTTTACTCAGAAGTATATCTAGGAAGGAAAGCTGATTGTTCTCCTCATCTTCACATAAGAGACTGATATGGTTTTGGAGAGTGTTAAATCCATTCAGTAAACAGTATATATCTTCATTTCCTTCACAACCAACGAAGATATCGTCCACATATCTCTTATAAAGTGACATGTTTCGATTAGGTCACCAGCCAGATTTTTTTGTTTAAATAAAAGAAATAAATAAAATAAAATAAAAAGAGGGTTTCTACTATTTATTGGTTAAAACTGAAACTTTTTTTAAAAAAATAATAGAAAGTTGTAAATAACTAATATAATGGAGATATATAATGAAATACTAAGATAACCTAAATTAGTTTATAGATAAGGTTACCATAATAATCATATATAAAATTTGAAATATTTGAAAATTGCCTGAATATTGAATATTGAATAGTTTCTGATTTGAAAAAAGAAAATTGTGGGCTGTTAAAAAAAAATAAAGAAATTAAATATGTTATGTATAACAAGATGTTCTTCATTAGATCATATCAAATAATCGAACATTAAATGTTATTTTATAGTGGATTAACTTTGTAATCATTCTTTAATTATTATCAAATAAATCCTAATGGTGTATGAATTCAGAAGGTGACACAAAGTACCGACTACAGTTTACTATCGAATAGCACAAGTCAGTAAGTTACAAGCATCAAGTGAATTCGACCAGAAAAGCTAATGCGCGCGAGTGAGCGAATACAGAGTCGAATTAAGACTTACACCAAGAGTCGAGTCAATGACCAAGATTCAAATATATATATATATATATATATATATATATATATATATATATATATATGGGAAAGCCATACGAAGCGGAGATTGTCGTAGGAAAAATTGGGAACAAAGTGAGGCTGAGAAGACAAATGAGCCAACTTGTTTTGATAAAGAGTAACTTAATATTTATAGTCAAACAAAAATAAGTTACAGACACGTAATAAATAAGGTAAGCAATTAACACATATACGCTTATATAAAAGAAATCAAGACTAATAAGTGAATAATTAACAACATTAAAATGTGACTCAGATAGAATGTATGAATTGGTCTATCCGGAAGGTAAAATAATCTATGTGGGCTTGACATAGTACTAAACACTACAATTTAACATGTTCACTGTTACTTAAATATGATTATTATATATGGTAAGTACAAAAGAAAAATAATCACTTTATTAACTGATAGTTAATTTAAATAACGACTAAATACATTGATTTTATGCTTCATATAACAGAAATAACTGTTTACATTAGATCTAATGAGTACATTAAACACTTTAATGTATAACAATATAATTTATGATCTAAAACCAATGTCCACTACATTTTGATTGACTTAATTTATAATTTCTGATCAGTATTTATTTTGTTAGTGAATACAAACAGTTCATGTGAAAGCACCACTTAATCTTTGATTAAGAAACTATCTAATACTATCTCAACGCTTATTTAAACTCTTTTGTTTTACCGCATTTATTTCACTTTCCTAATTCATGTATTCTGAGAAGGGAAAAACCGCTTCATCTTAAATTACTTATTGAAATACAGTAATGTGCATACAATTTTCTGTATACATTTCTCTGAAAAAGGAATTGATAAATCTAATATTAATTGAAACTTCTTTCAGTGGAGTAGAAATGGGGATATACATATATAATTGATTATTGAAGTTATTTACAATACTATCTTTAAAATGTATCTTCATTTTGCCTATCTATCTTTCTATTTCTGTGTAGACGAATTCATATTGACCAATAATCGAGTAGTAGTCATGATTATGTTTGTTTAGTCCTAAGTATTGATCAAATTCTCTCAATCGAATTGCAATATGGTCACTAGTTCAAGTGAATTAATGTCCAAGTACATGTTGTTTGGTGTTAGGTATGAACACAAAATCAACAAGACGTCCTAGACTTATATTTTATGATAGTCAACGCTTACCAAAGTTATCCGTCTTCAACCTTGATCAAATTTTTATTTCCTTCGAGATTCACATACACATTCCATTCTCAATATCCCAATTAGAGAATTTACTGGTGATAGAAGAGAAGTGATTGACTTTCAATTAAACTAGAATATTGACAATAACTAATCATTTATTAGCCAATAATCTTTACTACTGATAAATACTATCATAAGATTTATGTTAAAGACTATCTGGCGATTACCATTAATCATTTTGGAAAGAAACATCTTACTTTTAGGATGATCATCATAAACTGGTGCTACTTGTGAACTGAACGTGAAAACCTCAGGTTCATAGTGCAGTTGACATTTTGTGTGATTGACTTCTTCAGTTTGCTTAACCTACAGTTTTCAAATAGTTGAGTTCTAAAACTTTTACTTCCCACTGACATCTACTGAATTTTTCAGTCAGTGTGATGAACGTCAGTAATAAACATTTATGTAAGTTAAGGTAAGCAACACATGTTCGATGATATTAAATATATTCCATCGTTGTATAATCTAACAGACGTACTAAATGAAGATCAATGAGTGTTGGTATCTGTGTATATATTTTAAACATTTAAGCCATCAACATCAGTCTTATAAATTTAGACGTGATATTTTTAAAGTAGCCCAGTATATGTGATGTTCGTTTTAAAATTAGTACGGTCATATATTTTCTGCAGTAGAGAACCATTTATTCATCATTTCTTTAGTTCTATTCGTCGCTCGAGCGTTATTAAAGTAGGAATACTAATACATGACAACTGGTTGGTTACATTTTAATTCGGAGTTACATAATTTTCTTTAGATAGAAATCAACCAACTTATAACTGACTTTAAAACAATTGTGGTTCCTATTTCTTAAACCCTAATGATAGATTTTGGGGGTAAGATCAAAAGTATTAAAAAAATAGTAATTGGTTTAAAGGTTATCAACATATTAGTTCAATATACCTAGGTATAAACATTTCCTGTGTTCAAATGTATAAAGATATAGCATGCTGAAAAACAGGTTATCTCTGGTTCTAGCCACGTAAGAACTTGAACTGGTGATAGAGAGATTACTAGGTCTCGTTGTTATTTAAAAAGGCAATGACTAAACAAATTCTTGACTTATAAATAATAATAATCGATTAATGATATTAGACGACAAGTTTAAGGAGTGCGGTAGGGGAAGTTGTGAAGAATCGTTCATTATCACGGGATAGGTGCGAATAATCAATTTAAATCACAGTTGTTTTAGTGTTATTCCATCTCGTAAACGACTTCAGGATGAATCTTTAGCCTGTTAATGTGCATAATAAATAGTCACCTATGGTATAATTAAAAAAAAAACTTTTCATATTTTTATTGTGATCAGACTAAAATGGTTCCCTCGTATAGTAATTAAAATTTGTACAATGTACATAGTGTGTTATAGCTAATGGTAATTAAAGTGCTTTAAAGTTTCTGTAAATATTGTTAGCGAATCTCTTATCGCAGACCGAGAAAGGTAACTGCACATGATTTATGTAACATACATTTAATGTGTATACTTCTTCATCATTATCATGTATGATTTTGAATATTAAACTTTCAAGGTTAATATGCCTCAAACTTTTTTATGTAGTGTAATATATCTATATAATTTTTTTGAGTAAAATATCATGCCAAACGTCCTAACTTCTCACCAAGTAAAATGAAATGTATCTTTAAATACGGTATAATGATCAGATGAGAGCTGCTGACAATACAATACATTTTACATTTGTTATTTTTTTAAAAACTTCATCACTTCAGTAAAACGAAATCAAATAACCTTCATTTTATTGAAAATTTTAGACACAATAAAAGTTATTAGTATTTTATTTCCACTTTAGTATTTTTAACAATACATCGACCAAAATTAACACTTTATCTCTATCTGAAGTTTGTGCTGATGATGTCGTTCAGAAGAACGATGAAAGCTCCACGACCAAACCATCCAGCTCAGAGAACAAAACATCAGAAACTTGATGTCACTTAGAATTAATCTAAGGTGATTGTTTGATAACAGTTTTATATGTGTAACCAAATGATTTTGTATGTTTATCGTTAAAAATAAGTAATTAAAACTATTTACAAATTTGTAAATAAAGATGGATGTTGGTTAGCAATGAAATCCAGGATGCGCGTTTCGTCCTACTCTGGCACTCGTCATCCGGATGTACATACATCTCAGAGTTGATATTCACTCCTAAATTCTATTGTTGTCTACCACCCATCTTTATTTATAACGCTTGTAACTTAAAGTAATATCGAGGCAGTCCGCATAGGATGCACATATATCAACAAGAGACCGATCAATTTCAGTCCTAAACAACAATGGGAAGATACAAGCAAACAATACCAAGTTAGACACTTACACCGCTGGATGCCGGCTAGCTCAGTGGTCTAGTGGTTAAGCGCTCACGCGGGAGACCGATAGATCCTGGGTTCGAGTCCCGCGTGGCAGGGTTGACGAGTCCCACGATAGGACGAAACGGCCGTCCAGTGCTTCCAGGCTTTCTATGATGGTCTAGCTTTAAATGACTCATGATCTCAACTATTGAAAAACCAAGTGTATTTACAGATTTCTTGATAACTCTTTAACTAAATCGGTGTGAAAAATTATTTTTTTATAAATTTACGTAGATAAATAAATAAATGTACGTACGTATATTGAAATATATTCATTTGTGTTTTTAATGAATTCAAATGCAGAAATTATTGAATATTAAAACGAACTTACTTTTTGTTTTAATTTTAGCACAATACAAGAATTTAAAATTAGAATACATGCAAATGGAAGTACATAAGTTGAGAGTAGAACAAAAAGTTGATAACCCATACGACTTGATTGAGTTGGAAATTGTTCTCGACAAAATACTTCTTGATTGTAATTATTATTATTATTGTTGATATTAAGATGTGTTGTAATTAAATCATGAGTTTGTTTACTTGTTGAAGTATATATTTGTGGTATCTCTGTTAGATAATAAGTATTATTTGGTATATCTGTAGAAGTAGTGCTAAGTAATGTGATATTATCCGGTAATATGTCATCCCTTGGTGCTGGTATTAATACTTGAAATATGATTATTGGTAAAGCAAATATAATTCCAACTAGAAGAAAAGATTTTAAAAAAAAATAGATTGATGGGATGAATAATTCAGTGGATGAATAAAAATTCATTTCAGATGTTATAAAAAGGATCTTTCGTGCTCAAAGTCGTAAAAACAATCCGCTTGTAATAATAAAATACTGCTTTTTACATGGTTTTAAATCCTGTAGGTATTTATTGTTATTATTATTATTAATAACTTTATTCGCTATTATATTTTTGGTACAATATAGAATCCTCAGTACAAAGTATTTCAACAAGTCTCCTTTTCTTATTTCTTGATCGATCCTAACGATAAATACTGAATGATCGCCGGGTAAATGTTAGCAGTTCGGAAATCGACATCTGAATAATGTTCATTCTTTTCAATGCATATAACCAGCCACCATGATGTCGCTGATTGTACCTTTTTGTAACCTGTACAGGAAAATGTTGTAATTTTTTCATAAACGCGCCTGAATAGTCTGTGCACTCAATAGACATAATGATGTGTTAAAACAAACTAGAAAACAGATGACTAGTTGAAATATCTAGATGGCAGGAACAGGTAGCTTATATATTCAAGCAGACCGCCAACTTATCAACTTGTATCAGCGTCACGCCTGATGTCATACTGGTGGAACCATTGTGAATATCGAAAAAACTTATTAAACACAAACGTCTTTTACTTTAAAAGCCTTGGTGGTTCTGTTTCGATTTAAATTCATAGAAACCGTAGAACATAAGACCGTAAAAAAAATTATGAATTGATGGGTTTCTCACTGAGTATGATAAAGTGGATTCGGAGATAAGCACAGAGTAATTGAGTGATGATCAACTTTTCTGTTTAACTTTAAGGTATTTTTAAATTGCAGATTTCGAAAATATTTTAATTATTCCTAATGATGATACATTTCTAATTCATTGAAAGTAGAACCATTCAATAAATAAATAATCTTTAAAAAGGATTAAGAATCACACAATAACAGTTATCGTCTGTATGTTTCAAAGAGTAATAGAACTAATGAGGAGTTTTTTAAAGAAAAAACACATCTTAATCATTAATATGTTTGTGGATAGAAATAAACTGTTCAGTCTTTAAGTGATTATCTAGGAACTAACAATGTATGGTTAATTATCTTAGAAATAATAGTGGTTAACTAATCCTCAGTAGTGGATGTACATATGTAGTGAACAAGAACACGAGTGGTGACAACCTAATGTATTGGATATGAAATTGCAGAGCATCTCACTAAAACCTTATAGTGAATGGTTAATTTGCAAAACATCAATCCATCGTCTCAAATTTGACTGTTCCTTTGCAAATATCAGCCCATTAACTCAGATTTCATTGTTCATGCATTTTCATACCAGTTGCGTTCCGTTTTCGTTCTTTCCTTATTGATCTTCTGCTGAAGTACATTCTATGCCTGACCACCGTAATTTACTACTTATATGGATATAAGTAACCCACACCACACATGTTTAGTAACTAACTTGTTACCAGGATTTATTCATTAGCCACCGAAAATTTGAAAGATATGCGATTCCGTGGAACCTGTTATTTTATTTATACATTAGTTAGTGATTTAGGATGATTTAATTTAAAAGCCAATTTACTGAGAACCGTAATTAGAAAATGTTCACGTTATGTGTTGGTTGATTCAATGTTAAGAAAAATGATGAATGGTGTATTTATAAAAAGTTGATTTTACTCATTATCCAAACTGGAGGTTCTTTAATCCAATAACAGTTTAAAATATTAGAATCATTGCTCTGTTACTTTTTGTTGGAATAAAACCGTAAATGACGTTGAAATCTTTAAGCCAAGTAGATTTAAGAAAATATAGAACTTAATCAATCTAAATAGTTTTAGACTAAGTCACACTAAGAGATAATCACACTTGTAATGAATAGATGGGCTAGATAAATGATCTAAGTACCTGGCTTCACAGAAGTAAGTAGACTAATATCTGGACTTTAAGTTCCTCACTTGTGATAATCCATCCTTCATGGTCGTTGTGGTCAGTTATTAAAAGATTTTCATTATGAAACGTTTTTCGTCCTGCGAACTTGCGAACAGAAGAAAACTAATAACTGATCATCTAACTTTATATGAGTTATATTGATGATATCTAAATGTCTAAAGGTCTTTTTGTAATTGATATCCATCATATAAGTTTGTAGCAGAATAATACCATTTCGTGGTGTTTTACATACTTTAAAAAAATGATAGATTATTGAAAAGACCGATTCATAGAAAAACTATATAGAATGGAAAACTGGAAAAAAACTTTAAGATTTAGGGATCTAATGGTTAGAAAATCAATTTCTGTGAAGGCATAATTTAATTATTGAGGATTTAATGTGATGAGATGTAATAACTTTAATGTGCTCAAAACTTGTTTTACACGATAACGTTTTGATTTCAATCAATGGGGTGAAGAAAATCTGTTGTACAATGTTTACGAACTTTTACATGTGTAGTAAATTTCTCACAATTCTTACATTTAATAACTTTAATTGTAATAGAAGTGTTGTAGTAACAAAATTTCTTGCTGATTGTAACCACGGTAATAAAGTCAGTGAGACAAATATACTATTACATTAGTTAAGGAAATTAGGTAACCATGGTAACAATGATTTAGGAAAAATCACAAAAAGTATGCATTTAATTTTTTAAACGGAAATTTTTATATTTGGATATGTTTTTCATTCACTTTACTGCAAATTTCTTTGTATGCATTAAACACTACTCAACTTATCACACTTTCTTCAAATTTTTTAAACATATTAATATCCAGCATACTTTTGACATAAGCTGAGATGATCGTGGATAGCAGTGGAATCCTGGACGCGCGTTTTGTTTTATTTGAGACTCATCAGCTGGATGTACTTGGATCCCAGAATTGATGTTCACTCCAGAGCTCAAAACGAAACGCCTATCCTGGATTACACTGCTAGCCACCATTTAAGCTTATAATGCTCGTGACCAAAGGCAATATCGAGGCACAGAATGCACATATAATAATGAGAAACTGACCAATTGCAATCCTAAACATCCATGGGAAGATTTTAACAACCAATACAAAATTACTTTTGATATGTTACTGAAATACAACAATAGTTTGTTGTTTGTAATCAATGTTACTCAACGGTAACCATGTTTTCTTGAATAATCTAAATGAATGATAATGTGAAGTTTGTAATATTATGGGGTATTATATAAGAATTCTGAAATCCTTTTGTTAAACTATAAACTACATTATATCACCATTTACTTGTAGGGATATGACCTAGAAGTCTATTTAACAAAATTTTCACAACACGGTCAATACTCTCTGAAAATCCTTCATACTACTCATAGTTACGTACTCATTAGTAAGGAATTTCGAGAATTAATCTTGGCATTTTATTAAGAAGCTATGGCCACAGGGAGTGTGAGGCAGTTACCTATTATTTACACTGGAGGACGATTGAGCATTATCACGAACTCACTAAAGTTCATCATGTAAGGCCTTGTATAGCATGGCCCGAAATTCCCCGGCACGACCGAGGGTGGAAAGAGTCAACTCTCCATCTCCAAATGCTCTCACGTGGCCACGCATATATAGCCTCTGCCAGGGAAGTCCTACTTACTGCCTTCTCGCGGCATCATTGTTGTTTTCGAAATTGAGTGGACGAAAAACGAATGTCCAACGCTTTAACCGGGTTGGCGGATATAGAGGACGTGCCTAGGGGAGTTAGAAAACCCCAATTCCAAACAAACGGTGCATATGGGCTCCAGGATCCTAAGGAAACAAATGGCGTATGAACCAATCGTTAGTCACCGGCTGCCATGGGACTGCATCTTCTTACGTTACACCACTGCCTTGTGGATTAGACCTTTAGGTCGAAGGATCTGGGTATGGCCCTCTAAGAAAATCACCTGCTTCGGCCTGGACACCCGGGCAGTATCTCGGCCCTCACACACAAATCAAATGATGATTTGTGGCGCATATCTGTTTGGTGTTACTTTGTACAAATATTTATGTGTTCAAATAAATAAAAAATTGTATAGCATCTCAATAGTCTAGAGGTAACGTGTCCCCAGACAGATCTGTGGGCCCAGTGTTCAGCGTCAGATGAGGTCGTGGATACACACAATTGGAGAGTACCATACTACGACGAATTAGTCTTCCGGTGCTTCTTTATTTTCAATGATTGTTTCACTTAGATCAGTTAGTGATTTAAAATGTAAAATTCAACCATCTCCACAAATCATATGATAATAAGATTATGAGTTTAATTATAACACAATATTTTTTGCTTTAGGTAACAGGATAATGTTGAAAGCTTTTTGGAAAATGGTCCACTCTTTAGTTTATCTAATAGTTTTCTTTAATTTGCAAATAAGAGAATTTATATAGATGGTCAGATGTGATTGCTATTTAATTAGACATTGTTTAAAAAGGTTAAGCAATGGAATTTTTTGGCTTTAACTGATTTAAAATGTCGATTGACTTAAAAAGAACTTGGAAGGTAGATGGGAAGATAGTTCTCAAATGATTGACTATCTGTACTACTGTTATAAAATAATACCATAATTCTGTTGACATTATAAATTGTTTATTAGTCATTTATGAGTTACTCAATTATGCTTCGTAAAAAGTTTCAGGACCTGATTTTGTTTTACTTTTTCTTAAACCGATTTATTTGAAGTTCAGTTCATATCAATCTATGAGAACGGTAAACGTTTAGTTCTTTAATGTGTACATACCTTCAGAGAGTCTTTTTTCCATGATTATAGATTTTATCCAATTAGGATATGCAAAATACTTTAAATTTACAAGTGAGTTTATTTAAATCACCATTTTCATTTCATAATTAATGGAGTTTTCAAGGTTCACAACATTCCATTGAAGGTATATTCATATTATTATTGATGTGGTGATAAACTCTCATCGACTTAGGTGTCTGGTACATGTGTTATCTATCGTCAATCACTTCTAATCACAACGTGTTTTTACTAATTGATATAGA